CCTACCCCACGGGTGCTCGTCCGCCAGCTGCTCACAGTATACCTGATAGGCCGGCGCGCTGGTCTCGGGGTTGAAGGTGGGGTGCAGCGCGATAGCCACGGTCGCCGCGGGCACGGCGGAGGGCAGCAGCGTCCTGCACAGCGAGTCCACGGTGGAGGCCAAGCGCAGCGACACAGACTCGGCGCGCCGCAGTTCTTTAACAGACGAAGGAAACCAGTTCCGGATGTGCGTTTAGCCCTGCCCCTGCCCTGGCTGCGCGGTTGGTCAACACCCTACCTCTAATCCGTCGAATCAGCGCGCTCTCCACCATGTAGGTCTTGGCGTGCGCGGCCAGGGTCAGCAGCTCGAACGTGCGTTGCTTGCGCCAGGTCGAGAACACGGCGTGCGCGCGCGCTCGGAGCCTCACGGAGAGCCCCGTGGCGATGGTCTGAGGACATAGCCGGGAGCCGGGTGTGAGAGGGGGTGGGTTGCGGGCGCCTAGTCGAGGAACTCGCCGGGCTTACCGACCTGGATCATGGCGGCGAACAGAAAGGCGGCGGCAGCCACAATGGCGGACTCGCCGATGAGGATGCATGAGGCGGACACGCTGAGCAGGATGACGAGGGGAGCCACCACGAGCTGCGGGGCGTGTTCCACGGCGCGCCATAGCGGCGTCCCGGTCGTCAGCACGATGGCCTCCACCTGGTGGGGCAGCATGTCGCTGCAGCTGTTGAGACGGATGGCCTTCCGGAACAGAAGGCCCTGCATGGCCGCGCGTAGCCTCCCCGCCTGTCTGTAAGGAGACGGGCGTCACTGGCCGTCACCAGAAGGAGTCCCCCCGAGAGGCGTGTCCGGTGGCCACTCACCTGGTCGCGATGCTGGACGCGCCGGAGGTCAGCAGGCAGGTGAGGAGCTCGCACACGGCGAAGCCCGTGGCCCAGAGCACGGCGGGGACCTGGTCAGCCGGGCTGTCGTCCATGGCGCTGATGAGCGCGGCGATGAGCAGCACCTGGAAGCAGACGGGTCAGAGGTGAACGCCTCGCGGTGGGCCGAGCCCCTCTCAGGTCGCCGTCGACAGATGCTCACCGGCGACGCCACGCTGCCCACCGCGGCCACGCACCCCAGCAGGCAGGCGGCGATGAGCCGACCGCGCGTGAAGGCCCACACGCAGTGGCCGAGCCTGTGGGGCGCGGTGCCGCCCGACGTCGAGGGCCCCGCCGCGCCCGACACCCGGAGCAGCTGCCACAGCCGCAACGAGTCCGTCAGACTGGACTGCGACTCGTTGACGAACGCGCTGCTGTCCACGGCCTCGCCGCGGAACGCCTTCCACACGGCGGGGCTGAGCCAGCCCAGGGCGGCACGCGCCACCAGGCCTCGCCATGACCTGCGGGAAGATCAGGTCGGTTGACGGGAGGACGGCTCAAGGCGCCAACAGGCCAAGCAGGTGCTGGAGAAGACCTACCCACAGCACGGCGCGCATGCCACCAGCAGTGGCCACCAGCCCCTCCGCGGAGGGTAGTCCTCGGGGATGGGGGCCACATCGTCGTGCAGCAGGAGGTGCGCACTGTTGGGGCTGAAACAGACCAGGGTTTTGATTGCTACGTACCGCTTTTTCTCCGCTGTCCTCATGTCGGCCAAGACGACACACTCACCCTCCGCCCGCGCCGCCGTCCCCTTGGAGACGATGGTACGCTTGCTCGTCGCTCACAGAGGTGTACGCCATGCCTGCGTTGTAAACATGCCGTCAGTAGCCGCCATCTCAACAACAGAAATCAGCCCGGAATAATGACCGATCCGGCCCGGCTGCGCGGTCGCGAGGCAGCGCGCTGCGCGGAGCGGCGGCGAGGTGCAGCGGTGCAGCACCCGGGGTTATTCCCGCGGGCACTGTACAGTGCGGGCAGCACGCCGCGGGCCGCCGTCACACTTCGTGCGGACGGCTGTACCGGCCTAAAGGCTGGCCTCGTCCGAGAGCTCGTAAAGCAGCACCTCCCTCGGCGGCTGCGGACATTCCGCTCCGAGCCGCATTTTTTCGCAGTTTGGTGCGACCGTTCGACTCGTGCCGCCTGATCGCCACGCCGGGTCTGCACCCGGTGCGCTGCGCGGGCCACGGCGGCGGTCCAGTGACGCACGGGTCGGGTCGCCACGCGATGATCCGCGACTAGCCGCGCGGCGCGACGCAAACGACACCACAAGGCCGCTGCACTCCGCTGGGCTGGGCTGGGCGGCGCGGGCCTGGCGGGCCCAGCTGACTGACTGACTGACTGCGTCTACTCCAACCTGAGCCCGGACCCGAAAGAGGAGTGGTAGGCGCGGAGTGAACGGCCGGGCTCGTGGCGCGGCGTGGCGCGGCGCGGCGTTGGTGCGCGGGCGCGGGGCTCGAACGGGACGGCACTGGGTCACTCACATGATGGAGCGCGCCGGGCCCGGGCCGGGCGCGGAGCCGGAAATGTGACCCCCAGGCGATGCTCCGCGCCGCTCTTCTGTCCGAGGCCCGGGTTACCTGCCGCCACGCCGCCGGGACCCGCGCCGCGTCCGCCGCGTCCACGCGGCAGCCGGCCAGGGCGGGCCAGGGGCAGGGCGGACGCGCTTCCCCCGCCACAGTTATTCAACCCCCACCTCACCCCGCCCCTTACCCGCTACGACCCGCACCGCATCCTTGGAAGGAATTCTAATGCCGTCCTTCGTTCGCAGAGTGGAGGTGTCGCGCCCGAGACGTGCCGTGCCGCCTCATGATGGTGTGCGAGAGTGAGGTGAGGAGGGTAAGAAAAAATACACCGCAGACAAACCTGTCGCGTCCTTGTTTTGGTGGGAGAAGAGAGGAGAGGAGGAAGGGGCAAGCGGGGGGCTTATCTAGTCCGACTGATTCACCTTGTCAAACTAGTTGAGCCCAGGGGGAGAAGGGGGCGGGGGGTTCCACTTGATTGGGGTGTTTTTGTCTCGGATGAATTTCTGGATTTTTACCGCGTGGGTATATCGCGGCGCACTGCTCAGATAAGGGATCGCGGGTGGTGTTGCCGTGTGTGCAAGATAACAGGTTGATGGGAAGGAATCATCGCCCTGCCCGCCTGCCCGCCCCACCTAGCTGCCCGACGTGTGGAGGGAGTTCTTTGTCCCCAGGGAGGGCCCAGGACCCCCACCCTCTAACGCCGAGGGAAGCACCTGAAGCCCTCCTAAGTGCCTGACGCGGCTCCTTTGGGGCGTCCTGCGGGGGCCAATAGTGCGTCTGCGTGCACTGGGCTCAGCAGGGCTCAACGCGGTTGCAGCAGCGGCAGGTGCAGGGCGGGGTGAGGGTGGGGCGGGGTTGAGCCGGCTCGGGGAGAGGTGGAGCAGGCGGGGTGGGGCGGGATGGCGAGCAGCCAGGTTGGTTGGCCTCTCTCCCCGCTCCGTGCCCAACACCGCGCCCCGCTCCGCGCCGGCCGGGGCTCCGCTTTGTTTTGCACTCACCTGACTGCCGCTACATCGCCGGCGTCGCGCCGCCGTCGTCGCCGTCACGTCACGCCACGTCCCCGACGAGATGCTCCCCTCGCCGTCCGCTTCGGTTCCAGCCGTCCTGAAGGCCGGCGGTCTCGGTGTCGTTGCGAAGCAGCGGCGGTGCGTTGGGTCGCGCTGTCCTTGCCGGCTTTGACACCCCGCCGTGCGCCTGCAGCCGCGCGGCGACTTTGCCTGCCTCGCTATCGCGCCGGGGCCCGCGCGCCGCCGCACCGCGCCTCGTCTCCACAGCGGGGCCTTATCAGCAGCGCGACGCCACACCTGTGAGCCCCCCGGCCGGTCGGTATGTAGCGCCGCGTAGCACCGCGTCGTGATGGTGTCGGCCCGGCCCCGCCGCCCTGGCAGCGCCGCACCGCGCCGCGCCGCGCCCGGGTCGTCCTGGCGCCGCTCCCGTCCCGTCCGCCCGGATCCGCTCCTCTTCCCGTCCCGTCCGCTCCCCACCGCAGGACGCACTGCGCGCCGCGCGGTCCTAGGCGCTCTTCGCTCTATCAGCGCGATTCACTCGCGCCGTGCGTCCCTCTGGTCTGCCCGGGCCAGTGGTGTGCCCCGCGCCGCCGCGTCCTCACTCGTCCTCGCGGGCCGCGGGTGATCCCGCCCCGGCTGGCTGCGACTGTTGCAGCAGATCCCGCGCGCAGAGCTCCGCCAGGTGTGTTCAACATGCGGGCCCGGGCCCCCCGCCGTACGTACACGGCGAGCCACGCGGCTCAAACACTGCAGCCTGAAGGTCGCGCCGCCGCCGCCGAGCAGCAGAGCAGCAGCGCCGCGTCCAGCGCCGCGGCCAAATCCGTGCGGGCGTGGTACAGTCGAGTTGAGAACTAAATCCAGGCGTTATTTTGAGTTACGTAATCGCGCCCGATCCGGACCTGCCCGTCCAGGTGCGCACGCGGTATGCCACGGTGGAGCGGCGCGGAGGTCCCATCTGGTCCGCGCGCCCGGCCCGCGGCCCCCGCGGCCCCGCTCCGGCTCCGCGCCGAGCCGTGGGTGATAAGGTCTCTGCGGCCGCGGTGTAGCGCCGCGACCGCCGCGGCGCCATGACGTCGCGACGCCCGTTGATACCCCGCGTCGCGAACGGCGCCCGTCATTTGTTGTTTGTTTTCCTTTTGTGATTTGTGCGAGCCGTCGTGTAAAACCGGGATTAAGGACCGTGTGCCGAGTGTCGTTTCGCTGGCGGCGGGTCCCGTTTTCTCCGCTGTGCCGTCACGGGGAACGACCGCTGCCATTTTAATTCACAAAATCGCGTCCGAAAGTGGGGCACCGCGTCTTTCGCGTCGGTCCGGCAGGTGACGCCACTAGCGATTTGTATGGTTTCAGGCGATGACGTCACTCTGTCGTCTGAAGTGGGAGTCCTGTCAAGATGGACCACAACCATAACATTTGCGTCCGATCCTGTGCCAAATAGTTTCCCTCGCCCCTCGGCTTCTCTCAGGTGCCCGCCGCCGGGGCTGGCGGGACGGGGTAGCGACCCCGCTGTGAAATGTCCGACCCCCGTGGCCCGCGATCTTTAATGCGGACTGTGACGGTGGATTGCAGGTGCCGTCTAGGCTAGGACGGCCCAGGACTGCACGGGTATTCACGTAGAACGGCTCGGCGGCCAGCAGGAAGCGCCCGGGCGGGCAGGACTCGACTCCAGCAGAGCGTCATGGTTTGCTAGTCACCCTCCCCGCCAGCTCCGCCAGCACCAGCCAGCGCTCCAGCTCAGCCCGGAGCAGGAGTGCCAGGACTGCCAGAGCCAGCCGCTGAGCTGAGCATGGCCGAGGTGCCCAGCCCCGGGGGCCCCGGCCCCGGGTCCGCGTCCAGCCCCACAGGCGCCCCCGAGGCCGTGCCGCAGTGGAAGCGCGACCTGCTGGAGCGACGGCGGGCGTCCGGACGCAGCATCTCGGCGTCCAGCAGCGGACTGGGCGTCGTGAGCCTGGGCCTAACCTGCCCCGGTGTAGTGGCGGCCGTCAGGCACCCCGGCCAGGGGCCTGCAGCTGCAGCGGGCCCCTCCGGCCCCTCCGCCTCCGACTTTCACCAGAGAGCGCGAGCGGGAGCGCGCTCGGCCCCCGAGTCCCCTGCCGAGCCCCCGCGGCCCCAGCCCGACCGGGACCGAGCGTCAGCGGCGGCAGCGGCCGAGTCAGTGCCCGTCGGAGTCCCAGTCGGCTTCGACGGTGGGAACATGCGGCTTGTGGAGCAGCTGCAGCTTCAGCGCGACGACATAACCTTCAATGGACAGGACGATTTGAAGCAACGGTTTATAAACATGGGCGAGGAGAAGATGCTCCTGCCCCTATCGGGGCCCAGGGCTCTGGCCCGTGTCCCCCGCGCAGCCAAGCAGTACCTGGCCAAGGTGGCGAACCAAAAGAATGGCACGCCGACAGAAGATGAATGCAACTCAGACTCCAGTGAGGAACTGCAATACGGACCGGGCATCGTCAAGAAGCTCAAGAACAAGTACCTCACCATGACCCTGAGGGAGAGTAGCTCCAGACCCTCCCTGTCCTGTATGAGGAGGGCCACCAGCCTGGAAAACCTACTGGATGAGGAGACAACTATCATCAAACCGACAGACACTAAGCCAGCCCAGTTTGTTAAGAGGGTAACAGGCAATAACACAGTAAAAGTGGTCACTCATCAGTCTCGCAGTGTAGAACCTTCCCAGCGAGACATGAAGCGGGCACGTTCTATGGAAACTTTATTACGCTATGATCCAAAGTTGCATACGAGCCATTCAAATTCAGGTCTCAATGTGCATCTTGAGGATGCTGAAAAGGATGAAAATGACAGTGCTGTGAATGATATCCGTGAACGCAGTTCTGTACAACACCGCAAATCAACTGAAGGTGAAAAAGAAGATCAAATTTTGCTGAGAAAGAAACTTGCCATCACATTTGAAGAAACAGAACTGCCGCCTCCAGACCTTGTGAAACAAACTCTAAAAATATTTGAATCATCTGGGTCTCCAGGGTCAGCCTCACCCCCAGTGCCTCAAGCTCGTAATTCTGTGAACAAGAATGTTAATTTTAAGACAAATAATGCCAAACCAGTGCCTAAAGTGAAAAATTCTGTGTCAAAGAAACCTCAGGTATCACCCAAACCAGTGTTCAGCCCTGAGAAACTTCGTTCCCCCAAAGTGGCATCACCAAAGAAAAGTGTTGACGTTAGTGATAAAGTGCCTAGTGACAGTGTCAGTGCCTCTGTACGTTCTGGACGTGGTGATACGTCCCCAGTGCCAGTGAGCCCAGTGAGTCCCCTCAGCAGTCCGGTTACTCCACCTACTTCTGCTGTTACACCTATTCAGGTTAGAAATTCAACAAAGCGCAGTCCTCCATCTCCAAGGAAAACGATGGGTCTGCCTGTGCTATCCCCTACGGAAGACAAACCACCACCAATTCCTAGGAGAGACAAGTCACCCAGCTCATCTGCCCCTGTCACTCCAGGTACTCCAGTTACACCAGTTACTCCGTTAACGCCGACCACACCTATATATGGCAGCAGTAATGGACGACCCGAGTCACTTGATATCAGGCCAATCTACTCAGCGTCAGACAGTGATGGCGAAATTGATGATGTGGATGCTGTTTCCTCAAAATCTGTTTCATCTTCAGCTCTAGAGAATATTCGAAAAGATGGTACTTCTATGCAGTTTAGCTTTGGATCTACCAAAAGCCCAGCTAATGATACTGCTAAATCTTACTTGCCTGGAGTGAAGCCAACTCCTCCTAAAGATCTTCCTATTCCACCTAAATCAACACCAACAAATTGTGTTCGTTCAGTATCTCCATTTGAAAGCCACAATCAAGACCATGCTACTCGACCTGGTTCAGTCATAAATGTAGCTTCTTTGCCTCATGGGGCTGTTTTAAAATCACCAGAATCGCCAGTTCAACATGCTAAGCAAGTTGGTGTTATTAGGCCACTTGTTTCAACAAAGCATCACTCTCCTCACAATATATCTCCCACACCTGCCACTCCAACTACCTTAACAAACAGAGAAATTGAGAAGAATCTTATAAATCGGGCCAAGTCAATTGAACAACCCGTAACAAAGGTTGTAGTATCCTTGAAAAAGCTGCCTGATGATGTTGTTGTCGGGTCAGTGTCTCACAGTGCTTTAGCTTTTGCTGTAAATGGTGACCAAGCTGGAAGCACTCCTGCACCAGTTGCCAGTAAGAGAGGACAAGCCCCTGGATTATGGGATAAAAAACCATGGCATCATCAAGACAACACCATGGTGTTCAACTTCAGCAACCGCAAGGAGGTGCCAGATTACATCGAGAATGATGGACTTATTCTACGCGGAAACAAGAGAGAAAAACAAAGGGTGAGTGAAACATCTTGTTACTTTACTGTTGTATGGCGGTCTCTTAAAATTTATATAATTGTTAGTGTCAAGATGAAAATTTTAACTTAGTGTTTTGTATGTTATTCTTAATTTTTTGATATGACCTGCCATACAGCAGTGACATGCATGATATTTATTTTTATTTGCATGAATGGATCGGTTGTGGTACAAATATATAAAATTTCAAATCGAGTTTAATTTTAGGGAAACTGATCTTTCTGATAATTCATTCGATAATTTCTCGCAAAATTCACGGTCCAAAAATTCATTAAAAATTGGAAAGGCCAAAGGGGGCGGCTCGCCCGGTGACGCACTGTAGTGTGGTTGTCTCTTATCTAGTGATAGGGCCGAAGGCTAGCCGTCAGGCCAGGCCGGGCTAGGCCGGGCCATGGCCGGCAGGCCGCAGAGGTGAAGCGTACGCCTCGCCTCGCCGGGGTGGTGGGGTATTGATCAGCCACGCGCTTCACCGGGCGTGGTGTTGTTGGTGTGGCCCCGGCCAGCGCCGGGCCGCGCAGCCGCGCCGTGCATCGGACAGGTGGCTGTAAGGCATTCGCTGTGAGTCATCCTGGATGGGGGG